GTTGGAGCCAGCTGAGTACGGACTGAAACCTCCAGTAACTGTGAGCTAAATAAACCTTTCCTTCCTTCATTTTGAGTGTCGGGTATTTGTCCCAGCAATGAGAGAACAGTAACTAAAACATCAGTGAAGACTCTGACCAAAGAGGTTTGCCTTCAGCCCACTCAGTATACATACTCACATACACACACTCACACACACACAACACACACTCACACACACACAAAACACACACTCTCTCACACACACATACCCCTGGGCTGGCACAGTTCTGGCCACAGGAGATGTAGTGGAGAATAAAACAAAAACCATTACTGACACTATATTTCAGTATATGTCCTGTGAAGGGTGGACGAATGACATACACAAATTTTTTAGAGATAACTTTATTTACTTATTTTGTATTTTAGGGAAGGGCCTACAGGGTGTTCAGGATCTCACTACTAGATCAGACTCCTAGTGATCCGCCTGTTTACAGCCTCCCAAGAGCTGGGATTACTTACAGGCGCGCCACCACACCCAGTCTCAATCGCCGTCTCAGCAGGCGGGGGCGGGTGGGGGGAGGCACAGCAGGCAGAGCTGGGAATTGAGAGATAATTTTAAATAATGAAATGTACTATAAATAAAAGCACAACACAGGAAAACATAATGAGAAAGAAAAGGAGAGAGCCAAAGACAGGGGAAGCTGTTCAGCTACACGACCAGAGAAAACCTGTGAAAAAATGAGATCTGTACCAAAGTCCCAGTGTAAAGAAGACCTTCCACAAAACCCTAGGGAACAAAGGACGGGAATCACAGAAGGACTGGGGAGGGAGGGCAAACAGGACAGAAGGCCTGACCACAGGCCCAGTGTGGCTGGCACATTTGTGGGAAGCGAGGAAATCATGGGTGTCTTCAGCAGCCCCAGTGAAGAATCTTAAACTTTACCCCAGCAATAAACAGAAATTGCTGTAATGTTACTTTTATCAAAGCATACTAGGATCTGATACAGAAGTACACAGGTCATTATGTCAGCTGTATAGAGACCAGAACGTAAGGACTAAACATAAAGCAGGGAGCTAAGTCCAGAAATAATATCCTCTGTATGTGCTGACAGGCCCAAGTGAAAGGAGCCGGTGCCGTGCCGAGTACACTTTAGCCACGCCACGGACTTGCTCGCTGTTCACATGCTGGTTTGCATCTAGAGGCTGCAGGCAAAAATTAGTTACAAAATCAGTAATGAGATATAAAACACAGCATACTGCTTCACTTACCCAAATTAGGATCAGTAGGCTGACGTTTCTTAATTTTAGCTTCCGAGATAGCAGAATAATAGGCACAAGTCATCTTGATCAGCCACGTCGCTCGAACCATTGGCACAGAGTATTTAGCTAAATATGCAAAAACATCTTCTTTTTTACTAAGGATAGGAACCTAAAAAGAAATAACATGTATAATAATCACATCTGCATCATTAATACTAACTTACAAAGGGGGAAGCAAAAAAAAAAGTTGGAAGCTACCTGCTGCTATAAAAAAATGTGTCTCGTGAACTTCTAAATGGCACATGCATTTGGGGGCAAGGGTAATTTTAAGACAATATTTGATAAGAAAAATAATCAAAACTATGTTTAGCACAACAGCAAAATGTTTAATCAGCTGTCTTTATAACAAATTATCTTCAAATTCTCAGGTACTTAAAGTTACTCATCAACAAAGCAGAGAAAAATAATTTAATGAGAATCTTCCAGAGATTTATCTCAAAATTGGAAGGGATGGATTAAATGGAAAAACTGTCCCCAGTCTACATTTTATCTATGAATATTTTTTTTAGATAAAGCTTTCTGTTTTTCACAAAAGTAACAACTTCCAGAAAGCTTCTAAAACTGCCTTGAGCCCAAAATTTAAAAGAGAAGCTCAGATGATGGATCAGTGAATCTGCCTAATAAACATGGAGCTAGAAATAGCTGAGTAATTAATTCACTGGTTGGAAGGAGGCACTTGAGGCAGTTAATTATTCTTTCCAGACCACAAAGGTACTATTTAGCAAAAGAGTATCCCAATGTGCCACTGAGTGATTTGAAAGAGTTAATTCACTCTTCTGGAATAACACTTGAATATCCTAGGAATGGCCCGTTCATCTACATGATCTAGTTCCTTTACAAATGTAGAGGAAAAGAGTGAACAAGAGTACATAAGCTGTGGTGCAGCAGGACATGGTTAAAACAGACCACGAGGTGAGACTACATCTGTCCTCCTGCACATCACCTTTGGGTTAAGACCCTCAATCCCAGATTCTTCATTTATGGACTCTGACAATACCAGACCTGTCCACCTCACAAGATGGTTTGAGAAGTAAAGTAAAAGAATAATATGCATCAAAATTATAACAATTCATTTGTTGCCAGGACAGGATTTCTCCAGAGCAGCCAATCAACGTACACACTTGACCGTGACCATCTATGAAGAGGACCCTAGAGATCACCAGGGACAGCGAAAGCCCTCCTCTCCATGCCTAACTGCTACTTGATTTTGAAAACTATTGAAAATCAAGGCTCCAAACTACCTAAATAATTCATAATTCATGGCCTTTTTCTTAGTTCACCAAATTCTCGTTTTTATAGTGGATTTTTCTGCCTCGTATGTTACAAATTTTACTACTCATAACATGCTAAACAGGTAATCCTACAATCAAAAGATCTGTACTTTTTTAAACATGATACCTACACATAATCTAATTATTTCACCTAGTCTTACCAAAGAAATATTAAGCTATTTCAGTGTCAAAGGAAAAGCTACCTATGTCGGACAGTGGGCTGCAGTACACCCATGCACTGCATTTTATACGAAAGCAAAGAGACTTTTGATCACATATAGTTCCTGCCTTGGTGCTGGCTTGGTAAGGCTGCCCCAGGACAGAAGCAGCTACGTTGCATAAACACGACTAACAGGGAGATCAAAAGTACACGGGCCAAAGCTGAAGACTTCCTCTCTACAGACCACAGTGATACGTTTTAGCAAGGAAATTTAGCTTACAAGGCACAAGGCTGAGTTTACTACCATTAAAGTTAGGGACAAGAAAAGCACAGGATTAAATGTTCAGCTCAAGACCTGAGCAACTGCTTTTCACTGGAACACAAAGAACGGTACCAGCGGCTCACACGTGAGCTGCCCATGTCAGGTTGCTTCCTACTCGGATACACATTCAGGTTTTAAGATCAATGCCTAAAATCACAATAAATATAAACTTAGCATTTCCAAAGAAACACTACTGGTACAGTAGTATCTTTTATAGCTACCTAAAAGATTTCTTTTGAACAGCAACTGCCAGGAGCAAAAAATAAATCAATAAAAATTGCAAATGTGTGTAATGTTCAGATGAAATAGCATGCAGCCCTTAGCCACATGCCTTACACTAACAGTACAGGGCATACCTCTGCTGGCAAAACACCACAAGAACTGGCTGACTCAAGTCGAAGGCTTTAAAATTCAGAAGAACATATGTGAAGGAAGTTAATTAATTAAGAAAGACCCATAGCACTGTCAAGCCACAGTTTAAGCCAAATCAGGAAGCAAACACTGCTTGTACCATGTTTTCCTCACCATGATGGAGTCCCATATTTTTCTGTGAAGGAACCATTTAACTTTCTAAGTAGTCCTGAGGCAGTATTTGATTTCTAAATCAATCTAGAGCTGTATCTAAAAGGAATCAAAGATGCCTAATGTATGGCTTGTGCAGCCACAAGAGGGCTTCCTCCTCTCTCTTCAGATTGCACACTCCTATCAGCATCAGCGCCCTCTGCTGGCTAAGCAGGGGATGAGGCGAAGGAATCCCACAGGCCACAGGAAACAGGCTCACCAGGATTAAACAGCTGAAAAGTAGTGAATTGATCAAGAGTTAGAACATCTCCAGGTGCCAGAATGTTCCTTTTCCAAATCAAGACATGACTGTGATAGAATTAGAGGTATTTCACAGGCCTTTCTGTGGCTTCACACTTGACGTGTTGTGCAACATTATAGGAACAGAAAAATAGGCTCAGAGACCTAATGTATCTCACACAGAAAACCATTTTGAACTCCAGGCAAGAGTTCAAAGATGATGTGGGATCATAGGAGGTAAAAATCAACGTTTTTCAGCCATAAGCCATCTCACAGTTATATATCAGAAATAAAAGAAATATTTGAACCTCCTAAAATGAAGAACTTGTGGGGAATGCAATCCTTTACCCAACTCTGAAAGAGCCTTCACCATCCCAAGGAGATGAGAAAGGCTGCAAAGGGGAAGGGAAGGGCTCTTGAAATGCCAAAGAAATAAACACTTCAAGGTATATTCAACAATTTATAAAGAAAATATCTACACTTGCAATGAATGAATGTCAGGGCTTACCTGAGGAACACCTGACTTGGCCAGAGGCAGCTCCTAATAAAGAAAGGAGAACAATGGCTAATACGCTGCACCACAACTCATCTCCCTCCTGAAAGATGAGGGGCCCCTACACCCCTGAAGCAAAAGCATCGACTACGGATCAATATTCACACTCAGAAAACATCTACAAAATGCAGTCTAAAAACTTATTAACAAAGAAAACTCTTACAAAGATGCCAGGCTGGCAATGTGGAGAAAATGAACTATTAGTCAAGTCAAGGAATACTAAAGGCCATCCTGTGACGACCACGTTCTTCAGGTACAATCAATACATGGGCCACAGTGGGACCACAGAGTAACTCTTCGTCATTGGAGAAGCAGCACGAGGTTAGTTACTGGAACTAATTGTGTAGTAGGAGTTGGCTACACAGAGTCGTGCTTTCCAAGTATTTCAGCAGTCTTAAGCCACTGAAATCCATCAAAGGAATCATGTTATGACATCAGGGTAAAATAAAGCCAATGGAAGCTAAGGCATAACTTTTAAAGACTTCAAGAAGTAAACAAATAGCCAAGGAGCTCTCCTCTAAACTGGCCCTATACCACACAGAAATGAACACTTCAGACTAAGAATAGAAGACTGAAGTTTCTAAAACTAAAAGGCTTCAGGGAAGATGAGAAAAGAAACCATGAAATTACTTCAAAGGTATGCAAGAGATCAAGACTAAGAGGGGTGTTTCTAACTCTTTTCCTCAATTTCAAAGAATATTTTATAATTTTGAATTAATCAATATTATTTAATCTATGTATTATTTCCCACTTAAGAATGATCAAAGACAAAGAATGTAATACAACCTCCAACCACCACTCCCAAAACTAAACCCAACTAGTTTGTTTAAATCTCTTTCAAAAAACAAGTATACCCAGAATCATAGCCTTTATCTCACTTGGTAGGAATGAGGCTTAGCTTGAAGCATTTGAATGAATACTTTTAAAGATAAAGAAATAACCTCAAAGCAAGGATCTTTTTATCAAATCTTGGTATCTTGACCTAAAAAATCTAAAGATAGAAAAATTTTTTAAAAATGAAGCCTGTTCCCTTCTCTTCGCTTAATAATCTTGTCTACCTAAAATCACAAATTGCTATGTGAACCATTCAGTTTATAGATGTCTTGGATACCACATGCAATCAAAATAATGGGGAATAGGGCTAAGGGATATATAGCTCAGTGGAAGAGCACATGCCTGGCATGTGCAAGGCCTTAGGTTCTACCCCAGCAATGGGAAAAAAAGTCAAGAAAAAAAACAGAATAGCATAAAGGCTGCACATACCTGGTGCTACAGATCTGCTATGTAGATTTCGGTAAAGTTAGAGAATTTTTTTTTTGATAGACTGTAAGTTATAACAACGTAAGAAATACTTGATACCTTTTTTGCCAAAATAGCAAGTGGTTTATTCCCTGCTAAATCAGAGAACCAACTATGAATTGCACTCTGAGATCGAGCAGTAACCAGCCAGTAATTATCCTTGGCGTTCACTTGAGGCTTCTTCTTTCCGGTATCCTGGAAAGTGTTAAGCTTTAGTTTTTCAGCTAATATGCTGCTAAAATAAGCTCCAATCTGTGGAAAGAAAAGAAGAAAAGGCTTGAAGACAACAAGCAAACATCTCGGCACCATGTAGCTCACCCTTTTGTTTTAGTGAAAATACTCACATAGTTCACACAGTCCAACAGAAAATAAAATAGTAATTTCCAATCGCTGTGACTGTCATACGCCAGCACAACACAGAAACTCACACAGCCCCTTTGTTCCACCACTAACAAGTAGCTAGGGGAATAAAGAACCTACAGAAACCCTCGGTAAGATAACATTGATTACATCTTGAATAAATGTCAAGAGAATGGGCTCTACTTTAATCTTCAGCCATACTTTCTGTTTTTCACACTACACACCCAACAGGAGAGAATTTTTCCCCAAGATGTCATAAGTCTAGTAATCACATAATAATCATTCTTTTCCTTAGTGCATCAAAAAACACTTATTTTTCAAAAGTTAATTTTTGTTTACACTTAATGTTTAAAAAAAGAACTAGGGAACTGTACTGCTAGGTTCCCATCTAGATCCCACTAAAGCTCCTGGGATTGGACGGGTGACTTCTGGAAGGTAACCGGGCTCCAGGGTTGCAGCTGATCTGCTGCTAGGCGCCAGGACTGCTGAAAGGACCCAGTCACTGGAGGTGTGGAAGGAGGGTGCCTGGCCCAGCCCAGCGCCTGCCTTCACACTCTGCTCCCTGGGCACCCGGAAGCGAGCAGCTCGGCCTGCAGCACGCCCCTCGTCAGGCTGCGGCTGCTCTGGAGCCCACGGGCCCGTGGTGGTCTGGACTGCGCGCCACAGCAAGCCTCTCCTCCGTGACGCTGTGGATGTGGGCACTAGGTCTCAACAAGAAGGCAGGCACTAAGACACTGATTCAAATGCTAAAGTACAAAAGGCTCAATAACACTGGGTATGCAGCGTTTTTATTGTACTGTCAGTGTCCAGAGTACAAGTGTTTCAAGAGAGTAGTGTCACCATCTCTGAATGGGGCAGGATGGCCAACTTTTGTCATTTCATATCACCCAAGTTATAAGGTAGACAAGGAATAGAGAAAGGGACAGGAATGTAAAGAAGGGAGGGAATAAAATAACATTCCAAACATCAGGCAATTCATAGAAAATCTATTGGAATTTTCAAGAAGCCTATAAAAGCACCACAGTTGGTCCCTTGAGAATTTTTTTAAAATATGGTCACAGTCTACAATTTGTAATGCTCACAAAAAACTTTGCAAATAGTGACAATTATGAATAAGATAAATGATTTACCCTAATGAAACAAAATAGAAACACTACCACAACAGTCAGAAGGCAAGAAAAAAAAAACTGCAGGTTGGAGCACAGCTGTAAACTATCAGCTACATTTATCCACCAGGATGAAAAGCTGGTATAATCTTTTTTTCCTTGTAGTGTGAACAAGTACCCCCCGCTCTTTAACTGATGTGTGATTTAAAAGTCAGCATGCTGATGTAACACGACAGTAAAAACTGGTGAGTAGAAAAAAGAAATAAGCTTGAGCTTTTCTTTTTGCAAACAACTTCATCGTACTTTTTAAGGAAACATTTGCAGAAATTCCAATGAACAAACAAAGTGCAAAACTATAGCAGAGTCATTGTAAACATGCAGCCAACAGGCCTGGTGTGGCGGCGCACGCCTGGAGCGCCAGCACTCGGGAGGCTGAGGCAGGAGCATGCCAGCTGAGCTACACAGTAAGTTCACAGCCACCCTGAACTACACAACAAGAACCTAACCTCAAATAAATAAATTAATAACATGCAGCCAGTAGCCAATTGCTTAATGTGGAATTTTTCACTTTATACAGTATTTGGTCTTTGTACCTAGGGAAATAAAAACCTAAAGACTGCATTTTACCACTAAAGACTGCATTTTATTTAATAGTTCTCTTATTTGCAATTATGTATGAACACTTTAATCACGATACACAAAGAACTAAAAAGAAGAAAGTGGGCCAGTGAGATAACTCAGCAGACCAAGCTCCTGCTTCAGCAAGCGCAGGGACCAGGGTTCAATCCCCAGTACTGCATGCTGTGCTAGCCCTGCCCCTGGGCACACCCGGGCGTGGTGGTGCACACCTGTAATCCCAGCACTGGGGAGGCTGAAACAGGAGGGTCACTACGAGTCCGAGTCTCAGTTTATGACTATATAGTCTTCTATCTAATGACAACAAAGGAACATGGTGCCCTCCTGTTTTAATTCCTGCAACCACATCTCCTACTAAACAAATGCATAACTGACAGCAAAGTCAAAATTCCCATGCAAGCAAGAGAGGAGGAAAAGCATGGTAGGGCTCAAAACAATCAAAACATGCTTATAACACTTACTTTTATGACATTAATATATACACATTGTACAACAAAAATTATATATCATAGAAAAATATTTAAGGATTTCACTCCAAATCTACATGGCTCCCTTCAAGTACTGATTTGCTTAGTTTTCTCCACTGTCTTTTGCGTTTAAGTGAACAAACATGAGTAAACACATTTCTCTCTTTTCTGGAAAGAGAAAGAGCTTCTTCATTCATTTTTATAGACCCACAATAATGATTACATGGCTATCCATCTTTCGTTTAGTCAACTACTGTTAATGGACATTTGGAGCATCTGTTCCCAAATTTTGCTATTAAATGATGTTAAAATAAACAACCTTTCACATTTGTTATTTCTAACATATGCAAATACAGCTTTAGGATAAGTTTCCATAATTCAGACTGTACGATTCTATGATTTTAGCAATCATGGCCAAATTGCCTTTCAAAGGTTTAGAGCAATTTACAGCCTTTAAAAAAACTTAAGATTACATTTATCTGGGTGTTCTGACACACGCATCTGCAACCCCAGCACTGAGGAGGCTGAGGCAAGAGGATACCAGGTTCAAGGCCAGCCTTGGCTACATATGGAGATCAAAGCCAACCTGGACCTCATAGCTACAGTCTGTCTCAAAATATAAATTCTTTTTTTAATTTAAAACTTGTTTCCATTCAAAGCTAGGTGCTATTTAGAAAATATTTCATTTAGGAAGAACATGGGGAAAAATGTTTCTGAGTTACACAATGATTCACATATTTCATGTTTATTTACTTATTTATTTTATGTATTTAGCACAGGGTCTACAGGCTCTCACTACACAGATCAGACTTGTAGCGATCCTCCTGTTTTCAGCCTCCCAAGTGCCGGGATTACAGGTGCATGCCACCACGCCCAGCCTCAATCGCTGTCTCAGCATGCCGGAAGTCGAACCCTGGTCCATGTGTCTGCCTGAGCAGGCATTATAATCCACTGAGCTTCCTGGCTGGCCCTATCATATTTCATATTTATGAAATCAACTCTCAGAAAGCTTAAATTCTTGAATAAATTTCACAGGAAAAGTGATCAAAGTTGTAATAGGTGTTACTTTTGTTTATTCAGTTATTTAAAATTAGCATAACACTTGACACTGAGAATGAAAACAATCTAGCAGCTCCTATGAAGCAGCAGAAGACATGCACATTCTTCTGTGAACAAAACCGGCCCCCTAAATTCCCGCATCAGTGTGACTTCACTGGTAGATGGGCCTTTGCAGGTATTTTAGGTTACATAAGGTCATATGGTGGGGGACTGAAACAATATGCCCGTGTCCTTCTAAGAGAACGGCACAACAAGGGTGACCACACAGTGAGGAGGCAGCCAGCAAGAAGCAGCACTTCCGTCTTGAACTTCAGGAACTGGGCTTGAGAAAAGAAACTTCTCTTATTACAGTGCCCATTCTGGCATTTTGTTCAGCCCAAACAGAGTAATAAACCTCCAAACCAAGGAACATGCTTCTGGGAATTTACCCTAACAAACAGAAGCTGTTTGTTCAAAAATGACTGTAACCTCTCTTAGGAACAAGAAACTGGCAACAAGCTAACTGACATATACAGAGGTTTCAGTCAATTACAGCATATAAATAATGGAATGCTATCTCCTCATAAATTATTATTATGAATATTTCAGCCAGAAGAAAAAGGGTCTACAGAATGTTTCATTTTTAAAAGACAGAGGAGCAAAAGAAGATAAAGAAGTCATGGAGGCTCGTGGCCACAAAACAAATGAAACCACTTAAATGTCCAAGAGTGTATCTTTAAAAATGGTGAAATGCCAAATGTTACATATTTCATGATTTTAAAAAGAACATAAATCACATGCTCATAACTGTACTTATAAAGTGTACAAAAATTAAAAACTACAAACCTAAAAATAATGTGCTTCATCAGTGGGGTCATCTGCAGAAAATGGTATTTTCTTTCATATCTCTTAGTTTAGTTAATGCCTTAAGAAATTATCAGTTATTTAAGTGTGTATACACGTATGCACACACAAAACAGGACTCAGAATGATACACAGGGCTTTAACGTATATCTCTGCCGAAGGCAAAAAGAGCAGTAATTCACCTGTTTTTTAAAATTTCTTCTCATTTGTACATTTGGTGTTTTTAATTTTATAACACAGAAAGTATTTTGATATTCACACAATAAAAATTCTTTTTTTTTTTTTATTTTTTTTAATTTATGGGGGGGGCAGCTCAGCCAACCAGGGGGCGGGGCTGGCTGGCATGTGGTGCTGGGGGATTGAACCATGGTCCCTGTGCTTTGCTAAGCTTGTTCTAAGTAGGTGCTCTAGACCACTGAGCCATCTCACCAGCCCCACACAATAAAAATTCAATAAGTTTAAAAATCCTTAAAAGAATACAAAACAATTCTAGTTACATATATAATTGATACATAACCACACAAAACAATGCATTTAATTCAGGAAAATGTTTAATTAACAGGTTGACTATATATTTACTGTAAATCTAAGATTAAAAAGTACCCTAGAAAAATCATAAATTTTATGTAATAACTTTGCTTTTGAGCTAGCACTGGTATAGTTTATTCTGGAACTTCATTGTGTGCATCATAAGATACAGCAAACAAATACATATGTTCATTTTCTAGAGCCACACTTCTCATTTCAGGAAAAGGAAGATAAAGACAGACTAAGACAAGAAATACTCTGGGGTACTGGCAGGTACGTAAATTAAAGAAAACATGCGGATTAGTTTGCATTTCTGCCCACGCTAAGGCCAAGAGTAATAACACTCCACTACCCGTGAGCACTCTGGCATCCAGGGATGAGGCAGGAGAGGGAAGGCCAGCCGGACCTGGAACACGGTGTCCCACAGGAAGGACGTTCTCAGAAACTGATGCGGAGGCCAAGTGAGACCACGGGAAACTGGCCCCCAAGACATGGGACAAGCTGAGCATCCAAAGGAAAACTACTGTGAAGGGGTTGAGCCACAATGCATTAAATTCTAGAAAACTGGGTGAGTCCAGAAGAATCCCAAGTAATACTTTACAAAGATACAAGAAAGCTCTTTACGAAAGAATGTCAACTAATGCATGCAGCATTCCACTCAGTGACAATAAAGGAAAAAAATAATTACTGAAGTATGGCACTTAAAAACCTGGCACTTTCCAACTGCAAGCTAGTAAGTCACTCAGCAGAGACCATCTATGGTGCTAAAACTATGAAATTTACTGGAGGTGATATTCTCATGGTATTAAAGGTATCACTGGTGCACACGTACACTGAAACAACACAAGTATGGCTCATTATTTATACAAATTTAAGTTCTTGTGTATTAGTATAAAATAAAGAGCGTTATTTAAAAAGTGATCACTGTAGGGACTGGAGATGTCACTCAGCGATAGGACACACACTCAACATGCATGGAGCTCTCCGTGCAATCTCCAGCATATGAAAACATGAAAAAAAAGCAAGGGAAGGCAGACAGTGCGGTAGCAGGTCAGACAGTACAGTGACATGATTGATAGCTAACATAATCCTTGACTGGATCCTGGGGCAGGACAGTACGGAGGACAACACTCTGAATATGGACTGTGGTTTAAATCCCACCAATTAACCAGTATTACTGTCTCTCAAGGGAGAGGCACTTTTTCAGAAGTTATGGGGAATAGCCAACGTGTGTTACCTTTGATGGGTTAATTACAATATTTCTGGCGGAGCCATGTTCATCTCCTGTGAAGGCCGGCTGGTTGCTGAAGCCTTGCTTTACATTCACAGCAGTGAGTTCATCCTATTCAAAAAAAGGTATTGATTAAGGAAGGGATGGAGAGGTTTGCCCTTCACCCAGACACCACAGCCTAAGTAAGAGCTGGGCCTGATGTACCCTCTAAGAGACCCACTAAGAAAATAACCAAAGAGAGAGAAGAGGAGGTGGAGTTTTCACCATCATGTAAACGCAGAGAGAAAGGCCAACGTGCCAAGTTACTCTTCCAACTTGCAGTTTTTTGTCTGGGTCAGGCAGGGCTTCACTATGCAATTGAAGCTCGCCTTGAACTCACTGGGGAGCCCAGACCGAACTTGAACTCACAGCAACGCTCCTCCACCAGCCTCCCAAGTGCTGGGGCTACAGGCCTGCACCAGGTGGCAAGTTACTGTGGACTCTAGCTGTAGGGTGACAGGGATTAATGCATTCTTTGTTTTTTTGGGGTTTTTTTGTTTGTTTGTTTGTTTTTGCGGAACCGGGGATTGAACTCAGGCCCTTGGGCTTGCCAGGCAAGCACTTATTCTACTGAGCTATCTCCCAAGCCCCTAGTGCATTCTTTTAACTTGTCTCTCAACTTAGAAATGTTTAACTTAAAAGTAGGAAAAAAGAAAAAAGAACAACTCCCACCATGTGAAATAAAAATTATTAGGTTCTGAACTAGCAGTGTTCATGAGAGTCCATAGTTTTAACTTGCCCTTCCTTGCTGGCCCCTACATTATGTTCAAGAAAGCTAGCACACCTGATCTACCCAACCCTGCAACAGGCTGAAGACAGACAGGAAGGGTGCCCAGCAAAAACCTCATGATTCTCATCACACAACTCCCAGCTTGCACCTGGGGGACCCAGTAGCTTGGCACTCCTTGGCTCACTGGATCCCTACCAGCTCTGAGGTAGGCAGCAGGCATGAGTCTTTGTGCCCATTTAACAGATGAGCAAAGTAAGGCTCCCACAGCTCATGTGGCAACTAGGCAATGCCAGCTCTGAAATACTATCTTCTAAATTCTAGACTAGAGAGAGAAATTTCTGCCACCATGTCACCAAAGAACAAATGTCACATGAAAACATGGTCTAAAAATACAAAGCCACAACTCCTACACTTCTTGAGAAGATTTCCTAGTGGATGGATAGAGGAAAACTTTCCAAGGTCACAACACAGCAATAACATGGCCTTTAAAAAAAATAGACGATATGACTGGGTCATGGAACCAAATCAGAGTCCCTAAAATAGAGACTAAAAGAACAGGAGGAAGAGGTTGGAGATGAAGCTACTTTCTCCTCCACTCACTCAACGCCAAGAAGCGGTCTTGGTGACAGCTGGAGTAATGGCTGCCACAGCACAGCAATGAGAGCACACCTTCTCCTCCATCAGTCATCGCTGCACGGGAAAAACGGAAAACAGCAACAGCTCAACGTCATTGCTATGACCGTCAGGAACTTTTAGGACATAAAATAGTTTATGACATGTAAGCACCTGACCAGTACAGAAAGGTCACTTTGGCTGAGAACTGAGGTCTCCTGGAGTTACGCCACGTAACTTTACTTAATGATGTGTGTTCTTACTAATACCTTGGCCAGCCACTGCTTTGGCGGGCTTTCAAGAGACCCTGCTGCAGGAAATGGAGTTCTATGGTAATCAAGTCTCCTCCAGGCAAAGAAGGTCACAGAAACAGCGATGCACACAGCGCATGAACAGCCAGCACATGACGGAGGACACCTCAAAGTGCCCCCACATTCTCAAATTAACTGTTAAAAATTCAAGCCAAAACTACATAAATGCATGTTTTTAAGTCAGAAAGATTTCAGTCAACTTAAATGAAACAAACACAGTAACAAAATTTTCTGTAGTCTCGGAATGTACAGGTACAAACGGGATCACGGGGGGGGGGGTAGGATAAGAAGATGAAATATGCATTTACCTTTGATTTACCACTGCATAATTAAAACAAACATTAACTGAGCAACACCATATGTTTTTACTAAAAATATATTCTGGCTTAATCAAGAGGAAATGTTTGAAGCTTTCAAGATGAGCTAGCCCTACCTAGTGCAGATTCACTTTGTATTCTAAATGGATACTAGCTCAGTTAACTCATCTCTTTATTTGACTACTGATCACTTTAGGTCGGCTTCTTACAGCAGCTATGGAAAAGGTGGTAGAAACTACACATATCAAAATTTATATCCTGACAGTCTGCTCTCTAAAGTTGCCAAAGAGTGAAAACTGAGAGCAAAAGTTCAAGGAGTTAAGAGTAAGACTCAAACCCCAGAATGGATTATTATCGCCGCCATTTAGACCCCAGAAACGCACCGCAGATTCCTTCACAGGAAAGCCACTGTGCTCCAACCTTCAGAAGGCTTCAGACCCTGGCCTGGGAGTGGGGAAGACACTGCATACTTAATGGCATTAAATGCTTCAAGAGGTCAGAAGAAAAGGTATCTTGTTACATGAAAATCAAACAGAAAACTTTGTCCTTTTATATTTCCTAGTGGTCCTGGAGATTGAACTTGGGGACCCCTACTTTTTTTAAGAAAGGGGTGTCACTAAGTCACTATGTTGTCCATGCCGAGCTCAAACTTGTGATACTCTTGCCTCAGCCTCCCAGAGTGCAGGAATTACTCAAAGGACAAACGTTTATGTCACTGCTCTGTAGAACTTTGCCAAGTCTATTTAAAAATAGTAAAGAGAAAGGCTAGGTTTTAAACAGTGTGTTTCTAAAACCCCTCAAGCCAGAATCTATAAGGGACATAAAGAGTTTCCCTCTTCAAAGATTTTTCTTTAATAAAAGAGAGAAATAGGGGCCAAAGTTCTTGAAAAGGCTTTTATTAGAGGCTTCAACTTGTTCTGCAACAGCTCTGGACAATTCTCCTAACAGATCCATCAGTTGCTACTTTGCCTATTTGCAAAGGTGAGACAAAGGAGGCTCAAAGCCCACACACAACACACAACAGCCAATCAGGATCTACTCCTAGGTCTGTGCTCTGGGCATGAGACCAACAGTCCTGAAGGTTTTCCCACAGAAAAGAATTCCATATTAAAGGCTGAAGTTGTTCCCTTTGTAAGTACTACATATATATAGTAATATATATATATATATATATATTATATATATAATATATATAATTTTTTTAAATAACCAGTGGAAGGTATTCATGATTTCAGAGATAGTTCTAAATGCATGCATTCACGATTAGCCACACCTAGGGCAAAAAAGTTGTCTGGCCCTGTGTAAGACCAAGCATGCACTCGGTCAAGAGACAGCAGATGTCTGTCAGGAGATTATGGTGAAAGAAGACACATTTCTTTCTTGCCACTGGCTTCAACTAAAATACAAGTCACAGAGCATTTCTAGGGAAACAGATGTCCAGACAAACAGAAACAAAACTGTAGAGAACAGCTCCTGCTAACACGCAGGCTGGTGCTCACACCGCACTGTCACGCTGCTCCGGTGGGGGGAAACCTACGGCACACGTGCTGCAGGTGGCTGTTTGTTAGCACTTTTAAAGCTTCGTGTCACTGCCCTACATTGTTAAAAAACAACAAGACCCTGGATGCGCTGGTCACAATCCAAATGAACCCATAAATCTCATGCATTTACCTTGAACTTCAGAGAATGATCTTATTTTCTGGATCACTTTCAAAGCAATCTTTTCATTTCAATAAAATATTTCACTGAGAAAATGAAAACATTTGGATGCTAGTTTAGAAATTTTTTAAGCTCTTTCTCACTCAAGAAACAAAAAAAAAAGTACAGCTTAGCACAATTTTCATTGAGCATCAGAAGGTCAAATAAATGGCACAGAAAAGCAGTGCACGTATACACACTCATTCTTGACCTCTCCCATCATCAGCATCTAATGCACAGAATACTGCTGAACGCCCATTTTCTCAGTCACCTCATCACCTATAAAACTAACTCCCTGCCCATTCAATGAATCAGACAAATGTCCACCAGTAATGACAATGACACACAAGTAGAAACATGTAATTCTGCACTTGCCAATCTGAGTGTGTTAACACAAATCTCAGAATTTTTTTGAACAGTGATGCCATAAGTTGCCCAGCTTGGCCTCAAAGCCGTAAACCCTCCCAAATACGATTTCAGGCATACACCTTCACCCCCAGCCAAAGTGAAACTTCTAAAAACAGTTTTATAATTACTCCTCCTGGCCTTATCCATCACTACCTCCAAGGAGTCTTCTCTCAGGACCCAAAGGATATCTACAGACCCCAGTTTGAAAAACCAAGCTATGATCATTTCTCAATTATATTTAATGGCTGTTAGGCAACACTTAAAGTTGTTGAATAAACCCAGTGCATAAAGGAAGAATCTTTTACCCTCCTATTTCATTAACCAATCCTAATTATGCATCTCTCAAAATGTATCGCACATTTATTTCTCCTTTCAAACACAGTACACGGTCACTTGCCTAACTGTGGCCCCTGTCCTCACAGGCCCTGCCACTGCTCCTCTCTCATCCCATGCCCTCTGTCCAGCCTGCCTTCAGGCCCCAGATGGATTTGCCTGACACATCTGCATAACCCTACCCAAGCCTCAGAAGGCTTTCTCCTTTTCCCCACTAAAGAGGCTAAAGCAGTAGGTAGCACCACTCTATACAGACCTGCAGTAACATCCCTGGTCTTTTCTCCACCTAAATCTGCCAGGAATCAAAACACCATTACCTAGGCCTGACACTCAAAGCCTGCATTCCAGTCCATGCTTCTATTCTAAGTGTTAGAATCACAAAGCTCTCAGTTTGAATGCAGAGCCCTCGCTCAGGCCTGAGATCACAGTAACTGACCTCTCTATACCTTGGTCGCTTGGTTTAATAGAGGATAAGAATAACTTACAGAGCTGAAATTACATAAGATAAGGTGCGCAGACTTTAGCACACTGCCTGGTCCATTAGTAAGTGCCCTATAAATGGAGGCTGCTGTTGGTATAGCTGTTTTCTACTGTTATATTTTAACTGTCACTTAATCTTCTTGATTATTATGTGTCATTTCACATACGTTGCCTTTTCAACCT